ATAAATCACCTCATAAATAATTTTTTTTTTAAATTTTCTTATATCCAAAGAAAGGAACATCAATAAGAGTAAAAACTTTTATTTATTTATAGTCCAATTACTTATCAAGCCAAATATGAGTTGTTCACAAATATAAAAATTGTTTTAAAATTATATATAAATTATTTTTTTATCGGTAAGCATTTTCTATTTATTTATTTATTTTATCGTGCGGCTTGCATAAAATTAGGAGTGAACTTAAAAAGAAAATTTGTTTTTCCCTAGAATTTTGACCAGATGTATTTATTAAGTGGAAAAATAGTTAAAAATGCTGATTCTACTAAAGACTTAACTCCCTTTGAGATGATTTTTTTATTACTTGAGTTTTAGTAAAAAAAATAAAATTTTTACTAAAATTTTATTTTAAGAATCAATAAAAAAATCGTCACAAATTAAGCCTTAAAAATATCAAGATGGGCAATTACCCATCCCAAGTTTTATTATTAAGCCAAATACAATCAAATAAGATTGGATTTGTATTTGGCTCGTTAGCATGAGCTCATAAAATTAATTAAACTCAAATTGATTATTGAACCATATACAATAAAATAGCAATAACAAAAAAAAGTTTTGACAATCCTATGTAGGGGTGCAACCGAGTCAAGCCAACTCGTGAGCCATCTCGAACTCGACTCGGTAACATGTTCGATGAGTTGAGCTGATCAAGCTCACGACTCGAGCTCGAACACTTTGTTCGACACTTTGTTCGAGCTCGACAGCTAATTGAGCTCGAGTTCGAACATGCCTCAGGCTCGACTCGTCGACTCGATCGCAACGCTCGTGGAAATCCAAATTTGTCGATCGGGAAATCCAAATACCGTGAGCGGGAAATCCAAATCACAGAGCATGTGCAGATCTAGACGGCGGACGAGCTCAATACGATGACAGCGGACGCGACTAGAGGTCGGAACGATGTGGCTTTACTCGGGACGACGATGGTCCATGGACGAGCACGGGACGATGGATCTCAACAGTAGAGCTTGTCAGATCTCGGGACGACGACCTTTGGTGAAGGATCTAAGCCTCTTAAAATTGATACGGCTACGGCTGTGGGCTCTAGACCATCTTTAGCTAGGGTTTTAGTTGAACTGTATATTACTAAAGCTTATCCTGATCGTATTTGGCTGGGTTCTGAAAAGCTTGGATACGTGCAGCACGTTGTCATGGAAGAATTCCCTATTTTTTGTAGTGCTTGTCATTGTTTCGGCCATGCTGTGGGTGAATGTAGGAATAAAGCTGTTGTTTTAGATGCTTCTGTTTTACCTAAAACCGTTTTTTCTAATGTTAAAACTGTTTCACCGGTTTTTGTGGAGCCATTGGATGGACATCAAGATGCTGTGATTGTGCCTACTTTGGTGAATTTTGATTTAGCTAGAGAAGAATTGGTCGTTCCTAACGTTGTCATTGTTGATTCTGAACCTGTTTCTAAAGTTTTATCTCCTAATGCTTTCCCTTTCATA